TCTCTTTAGGCGACGTCCGGCACACGCGGACGCCGCCCCCTCGCGGCTGGCCAAACTAATGCGGGTGGAGGGGAAACCCACCCCGTCCACCCGCGGCCACACTCAGGGCGGCATGAGGCTGTGGGTAGGCGGGCCTCCGCCGCCCGTTCGCCGGCGGCGGATCGGGTCCGAGTGGAGGTCGTCCTCCCGGGCCCTCTCCGCCGCCTCCTTCCGCGAGATTACTACCTCGCAGAAGGTTGCGACCGCGGTAAAACAACTGTCGCTACCGGCCATGGAGCGTACTACGGCCGGTAGCGAGAGATCCACTCCGATGACTGCAGTGAGGGCCCGGCGCTGCGCCGCCCATGCGGGGCAGACCGCCAGCGTGTGCAGGTACTTTCCGAAGCAACCGTGCCCGGAAAGCACCTGCGTCAGCCGGAAGGAATGGGTCCCGTGCTGCCGCCCTGCCCACTCGGCGATGACCGGCTGGAGAGCCTCCACGGCGGCGAAGCCAGCGCGACCAACGAGCCATCGTGGCTCGGCGAGCGGCTTCGCGCCACTCGCGCACATCCTCGGGCGGAGGGCGGAATCCGCTCTCCGCCCGGAAGTCAGCCACTTCCGCCTCCAAATCCCACGGGGGAGTTCCGGCCAACGCGCATGCCACCTCCGTCGACACGGTGCGGTAACCACGTATGGCTCTGACCGCCATTACCCTCTGAGGGCGCCAGAGGCGTACCCTATTCTGGGCGGTCAGAGCCGCCGCCCACACCGGTGCACCGTACAGTGCCATTGACCGGACAACCCCCGTGTACAGCCGTCTTGTCGCGACGCTGGGTCCACCCATATTGGGCAAGAGTCGCCCTAGGGCAGACGCAGCGCCGACCAGCTTTGGAGCAAACTGTCGGAAGTGCTCGTCGAAGAGCCACCTCCCGTCGAGGATCAGGCCCAGATATTTCATCTGGGCCCGAAACCGGTACGAGGACCGAGTTGACCACGATTGAGGCGCCAGGGGGTGGACCACGACGGGGCCCATGAAATAACAGGGCCTCCGTCTTATCTAGGGCCACCCGTAAGCCCAGCGCCTCAATGCGCCCGACCACCAGGGAGACTCCCCCTGTGGCCAGGCGCGCCGCCTCTTGGAAGTTTTGCCCCCCGGGCTGTCACCAGGGTATCATCTGCGTAACAGATTACACCCAGCCCGGGGGGGAAATCGGCGCGAAGGGCCCAGTCGTATGCTATGTTCCACAAGAGGGGTCCAAGAACAGACCCCTGTGGAACACCGCACGACATGGGCCGACTCCTCAAATCACCTTCTCGGTCCTCGTACACGACGGTACGCTCCTCTAAATAGTCTGCCACCAGCCGCCTCAGGTACTTTGGCACCCCATGATAGTGGAGTGCTTCCCTGATGCAGCTGAATGGCAGACTATTGAATGCGTTGGCGATGTCTAATGACACCGCCAACAGCACGCCGCCACAGCTCACGGCCTCTTCGGTCACGGCCCTCAGGCGCAACACGGCGTCGACTGTCGAACGCCCCGCCCGAAAACCAAATTGGGCGTCCGACAGATCGGGGCCCTCCTCGCAGAGGTGCCGGACGATGCGGGCAGAAAGAACCCTCTCAAACAATTTGCCCGCCTCGTCCAGCAGCACGATGGGCCTATAGGCCGCGACCGAATCGGCAGGCCGTTCCGGCTTCCTCAATAGGACCAGCTTCCCGCTCTTCCAGCACTCAGGGAAGCGTCCCGACGCCAAGCTAGCGTCGAACACCTCCCCGAGGCGGTCTGCCATGTGGTTGAGGGCCAGGGCCAGCACTCGGGCCGGTACCCCGTCTGGCCCAGGGGCGGTGTTCTTGGAACGGATCCGTAGAACAGCCGCCCCTACCTCCGAATCCCGGACGGGCGGAACATTGTCCTCCCCCGTGCTCCCCCGTCGTCTCCGGCCAGGGAGGCCATCGACGGGGGAGTGTGTTCCGCTCGTTGTGGGAAAAGGCCCTCAACCACTTCTCGCAGGAAGCTGGGCTGGAGAGTCTCCGTAAGGGGGGGGCCCGACGCGCGGAGCTTTTGTCGCACCGCGCGGTAAGGGCGACCCCAGGGGTCACGATTAAGACCCTCCAGCATCTCCTGTCTTTTTTCTTCTTTGGCGCGGCTAATGGCCAGCTTCAGAGTTTTCCGCGCCCGTCGGTACTCCTCATGAAGCCGGTCCTCCTCACCGTCTCCACGGTGACGCCGCCGACTGCGCGTGTAGGACCTCCGGGCACGTGTACAGGCCGCACGGAGGTCCGCCAGCTCCTGGGACCACCAGTAGACCTCCTTCCTTGGAGGCCGACGACCTCGAATGCGGGGCATGGCCGCATCGCAGATATGCGTAATCGCATCGCGAAAGCGGCCAGCCCCCACGTCGACCTCCTCGGTCGGAGCCCGAGGAGACAGCCACGAGTGAATTATGGCTGCCTCCTCTAGTAGGTCCCGGTTCAGCCTGGCAACAGCCCACCGCGGAAAGCGGGATAAACGCCGCGCCACGTGACCCCTACTGGAGTCCTGGGTCCGGGAGAGCTCAAATCGGATATACAGGTATACAGATACAGATATACAGGAAACCCTATACCAACCCGTCTGACCAGCGTGGTATAGTAGGCCAAAACCTCCTTTCTAAGGAGAGGCCTATGTCCAGCAGTGGACTGTTTAGGGCTATTGATGATGTTCTTTGGCGAAAATGTATTGGTTATAGGTCAAGAAGATTTAAATCCAATTTGTTTTTTTTTTAATAAGTATCTTCATACCTACTTAATATTTCGCAATAGACGCAAATTCACCGAAAAATGTGTGAAAATTTTATTAAAATCATGTTACAAAAACATTAAATGGAGTTTCATTATAACCTTGTTAAAGAAAGATAAATGCAGCCCATAAAAGTCGTTAATGTTTAAATTACAAAGCGACTACACCAACTAAGAGTACTATTACGAGCGTTTGTTCCATTCTACAACAATTAGCTGATCTATGGACCAGTTTAAAGTTGCTCCAGTTTGTGTAGCTTCTGTTGAACATTCAAATATTTCATGTGTGTTCAAATGTTCACATCGTACATCAATATTATATTAATTACTAGCGTGTATTAAGAAGTAATAATAATCACTTGAATTATCTTATACATGGCCGTATGGTAACTATCTGTAAATAAACAAACATTTATTTTTTCTAAATATTATAGCTAAATTACTCATAGATAAACATATATAAACGATAACGTTGAAAAAAACACAGTCCTCAAGAAACGATCGGAAACTGGTAAGAGAAGAAACTTCGCCACATTAAATCAAAATGGTTTTTAATTTATATATCGTAGAATAATTTGGTTCTCTACTATATATATTATTTGAATAATAATCAGACAGTATTCAGTATAACAAAATACATAAAGGATACTAACTGGTCAACAAGAAAAGTTATTGAGTAAGAGACATCAGCGAAGAATGGAAATACAACGTGTATATCCGAAAGGATATCAAGGATACAGAAAAAATACTATGCGTTACAAATAATAGGAGTTAAACTCGTATGAAATGGCCGTTGTATAGTAATAGATACTTTGAATTGACATAAAATCTTCACGGTGTGAGATTTTCGTGTTAAACTTTTTTTACATGATATCTATGAGGTACTTTAAAAAAATGTGAATCATACGATTTTCGACTTTCAATTTTTTTTTTTCAGCTTAGACGTGAAAGATGGATACTTCGAAAGTCCGAGTCATTTTTTAATACGAGTCCCGACGCGGAACTAACGCGTCAGAAACGGCTCGAGAGGAAACTGCTAATGAACGCACCGGGCATTTTTGGTTTAAACGCTTTCGTAATGGAAACTTCGACTTGAAGAATGAACCACGTGGAAGACCGCAAACACACGGGTAAACTCGACAATTTCATACTTTAACCCCTAATATTAACCAACAATACGAAAACTATAATATGTATATGTAATAAATTAATAACAAATAAATAAGCAAGAAGTTAAGTTAGAAGAAAGTTAAGTAACAAAAAGGAACTGTTATAGAATATCTATAAAATCGCTTAGATTTTATCTGGAGCTGACAGATAACTCGTGTTATTTTCGATTCTTGATCGGTGTCTGTAATAATCAGTATCTGATCACAGTGCGTCGGCAAATATATATAATTTATACTACGAAGTACCGTTGGGGCAGACGTTGCCAACATTTAATGACGAATAGTACTAAGCATTTTAGTATAACTAAAGACATCAACATGTTTTATGCATTCAGTAAGAATTAGAGGTTTTCACTCTTAATCTTCTAACTAAAGATGGAGCATGAAAGGTTGATAAAACATCTATAATTTGGTCATAAAAATGTTGAACTCCACTGGAAGTTTAGATGGCCGTCACCAAGAAACTTAGTAATTCAGCCGTCTAGCGTTTAGCGGGTTCGGACTTATCCCAGCTGGGGCGTTTTTCACTGTGATCACCATAAAATAAACTTTACTGCAAGATGTTTTACATACATTAGGCACACGATATTAGGGGCTGTACTAAATCTAGAAACTATCAAATGTAAATGTAAGTGTAAAAGAAATAATTACTGGTTCAGAAGACTTTGACATCATTTTCATGGCAAAACTGAGGAAAAGTGATTTTAGTGATAATAAACAACAATTTTGTACCATACTAGGTAAATGTATACATCTTAGGTCGTAAACCCATACACTAAACGGAAACATGCCGACGTCGCGTCGTGCTAAAACAAACTCTGCCCGAAGCCGTGGGCGTGCCCTGTGCTATCGTAAGGCACGCGCCGATCTTCTTGATTATTTACCTATAGCAAAAGATACGCCTGAAGAAACTTACTCGATTTTAGCAAGAATTGAGTTTAGACAAGTTTTTATCTGGCAAGTAAAGTTTACATTCTACAGTAAGCTTGAACACTTGTGGGCTTATTAAAAATAAATTCCAAATCGTAATAATACATATAAAATAACCAAAATTCACAACTGTTCACAATAGTTCAGAAATTCACAATTGTGAAAACTGTTTTCTGTTGCATAAGGTTGTCGCACCGCTCATTGATATTTATGAGACCATAGTCTGTACCGCGCAATGATATTTGTGAGATCATAGTTTGCACTGAGCATTGATATTTGTGAGACCATAGTCTGTACTGCGCAATGATATTTGTGAGACCATGGTCTGTACCGCGCAATGATATTTGTGAGACCATAGTCTGCACCGCGCAATGATATTTGTGAGACCATAGTCGGCACCGCGCAATGATATTTGTGAGACCATAGTCGGCACCGCGCAATGATATATGTGAGACCATAGTCTGCACCGCGCAATGATATTTGTGAGACCATAGTCTGCACCGCGCAATGATATTTGTGAGACCATAGTCTGCACCGCGCAATGATATTTGTGAGACCATAGTCTGTACCGCGCAATGATATTTGTGAGACCATAGTCTGTACCGCGCAATGATATTTGTGAGACCATAGTCTGTACCGCGCAATGATATTTGTGAGATCATAGTTTGCACTGAGCATTGATATTTGTGAGACCATAGTCTGTACTGCGCAATGATATTTGTGAGACCATGGTCTGTACCGCGCAATGATATTTGTGAGACCATAGTCTGCACCGCGCAATGATATTTGTGAGACCATAGTCGGCACCGCGCAATGATATTTGTGAGACCATAGTCGGCACCGCGCAATGATATATGTGAGACCATAGTCTGCACCGCGCAATGATATTTGTGAGACCATAGTCTGCACCGCGCAATGATATTTGTGAGACCATAGTCTGCACCGCGCAATGATATTTGTGAGACCATAGTCTGTACCGCGCAATGATATTTGTGAGACCATAGTCTGTACCGCGCAATGATATTTGTGAGACCATAGTCTGTACCGCGCAATGATATTTGTGAGACCATAGTCTGTACCGCGTAATGATATTTGTGAGACCATAGTCTGTACCGCGCAATGATATTTGTGAGACCATAGTCTGTACCGCGCAATGATATTTGTGAGACCATAGTCTGCACCGCGCAATGATATTTGTGAGACCATAGTCTGTACCGCGCAATAATATTTGTGATACCATAGTCTGCACCGCGCAATGATATTTGTGAGACCATAGTCTGCACCGAGCAATGATATTTGTGAGACCATAGTCGGCACCGCGCAATGATATTTGTGAGACCATAGTCTGCACCGCGCAATGATATTTGTGAGACCATAGTCTGCACCGCGCAATGATATTTGTGAGACCATAGTCTGCACCGCGCAATGATATTTGTGAGACCATAGTCTGCACCGCGCAATGATATTTGTGAGACCATAGTCGGCACCGCGCAATGATATTTGTGAGACAATAGTCTGCACCGCGCAATGATATTTGTGAAACCATCATCTATACCGTCATAGTCTATACATAATCATATTTGTGAGACCATCATTGTAAACTGTTGTCGATGTTCGATATTCACAAGGCTCTCCTGCTCATGAAAGTCAGTTTTAGTCTTCCATGAGTTCGGGATCCAACTCGACCCTATTAAATAGCTGACCACTCCGATCTGTTGCTTCATAGACATATATCAAAATCTTCCTTGTTGTCAAAAATATAAAAATGTAAATGTTCCGAATAGCCTGCGGTACTTAATATCTTTACTTACATAAATATTTAAGCCCGCAAGGCTTCATTGATTGTTCCAAAGGTGCTCTGTGTAGTTGATCAGCCTCTAAACGATGAACTGTATAGCGCAAAATTCCCCTTGTACCCAAATCGCTAAGTCTGTCCTCGGCAAGCATTTGCACGGTAACAATAGCGCCTACGTCCCTAGGCCGTTAACCGGGTCATGTACTAAAATACCCGGTGGCTGTCTATGTCTACTGCCAACCAACATATTCAGACAAATCGATCCTGCTCACCTTTTGTGCACAGTTTAACTGTAAGATTTAAAACACTCCATGTCAGTGGTCTCGTTTATCTACAGTACACCGTCCTTAACACCGTTTCTGGCAATGTGTCTGAACAACAATTGGTTGGTATTTAATTACAAAATAAATAAATGTAATAGAATTTTGGGAAAATATTACAAAGCTATGGAGTGTATAAATGATATTACTCACTATGTTTGTCGGAAAGTATATCTTAGTAGCTTTCTGTGCCATTCACCTGTAACTCTCTAGTATATTTTCGCACCTTTATTCATAAACTGCATTAACTTAGAATTTCAATATTGTGGGAAATCGCATTTAAAGTTTGACATTCATGTACGTGTGAGTTCGTCAAAAAGAGAACGACGATCTCTTATCTCTGCCATTTTCATGGTATCGAGTCGGCTGTTGGATTGTTCGTGTTCTACTGATGAAGTTGATTTGGTATTTGTTGAAAACTCGAAAAACGTAAATTTTGAATTAATTCAGTTTATTATTAAAGGTGCGTTTTTATTATTCGTATATACACTAAAACTTAAACTCTACTTTATGGTACACAGCTATTACACACATTTGTAATAGCTGTGTACATAATGTAATAGGTGTACACATTTGGAGATTATTATTATTTATTACGTAATCACGTGATCATATAAACAATTATTAAACATATTACTACTTATTATTATTAGGTACCTTTGAATCGCCTGACGTTTCAGCTTAGTGCAATCTGGTCGAAACGTCAGGCAATAGATTTATAATACCTAGTAGGTATGACCCAGCAAACGTTGTTTTGCCATATACATTATTTCTAGGAAATACTGAAAAAAAAAACAATTTAGGGGTGTGTCACTCTTGTCTTTTAAGGGTATGAAAAATAGATGTTGGCCGATTCTCAGACCTACCCGATGTGCACACAAAATTTCATAAAAATCGGTCCAGTCGTTTCGGAGGAGTCTAGCATTAAGAGTAACTGGCATTGTGACACGAGAATTTTATATATAAGATATCATGGAACGCGACAGTTACTACGGAAACTGATGACGTTAGTAAAAACGCTTTTGTATATATATTAATAAATTACGAACAGTTAGGTCTAATTTTAACTATTTAAATAAAGTTATGTGCGTCTTATACTTATAATGAATAACCCATTATATTATGATTAGCACGCAAGGTGTTTCTCATAAGTACATTTTATATGAGAACAAGAACACCGTCGACTTCATTAAGTTAAAAATAGACTGTAATTGCGTTAGAACTTCTATAAGTTCTTGATATTCTGTGAATTAAAAATTATATTAACAACAACATCTTAGATGCCATAATTTATGACTGAATACGACTTTTACCGTAGGAGATCCTTACTTTGGTACAAATAGGATTTACCGGAGTAATACTACGGTCTAACAGAATACCGGTGCTAATTCATCTCTCTCTCTCTCAAATCAGTATCTTTTTTTAAACGTCAAAACGTCGTCGTCAAAATTTCGTGACGACATACCTAGCTATTGTCAAATCGTTTATATTTAATGTAGATATCAAGATATCAAATCAATAACGGACATACTAGCACACATCAAAACAATGTTGTGGTATATTTAATAGTGCCATTGTATCTGTCTGTGAATTGCAAAAGAGTGGCCATGAGTTTGTTTGCCCTTTCTTCTCATAAGGCTCAACCCCTTAGAAACGGGCGGTTGTAGATCGGCACAGGCATATCATAGATTTTATATGGGTTTGATTTTTGTTAAATTTATTTGACAAAACAGAGATTGTTGCTTTTGTGTGTGTTGATCTATGACTTTAGAGTCTACATAAAAGACGATATCAAACAATTTTCAAAATTTTATGAAATAAAGAGTTTGAGTTTGAATAAAATTATTAAATTGAAAATGGGGGACAATTCAGGCTCTTCTTTCATCATCATCAGCCTATCGCAGTCCACTGCTGGACATAGGCCTCTCCCATTGCACGCCACTTAGATCGATTAAGATGTTACATTTAATTATGCGGGCGAAATGATTTATTTTAAACCTAGGTATCTACCCTATTCAAGCTACTACGTGATAACGTTAATTCTTGTATACATAATCATTATTATTTATGGTTGAACACAAATGCTTAAAATTATCAATTGATTCTCAAGTCAGACGTTTATTTTTTACTGTCTAGCGGTTTTTATAGTATAGGGATAAAACGAGCCGACGAGTCACCTGAAGACCTAGTGTGAGCTTGTTTCACATCTATTCAATCGTCACGGTGACCGCGTTCGGCCCTGTGATTGGCCTGCACTGAAATTTTCACCAATCGTAAAAATGAACGCGCTCGTTATATTTAACTTTTTTTCTTTTTAGGTCAAAAAATGTTTTATCAAGTAAAGAAAACGTTAAACACACTAGACTATTAATTCCCAAACTATTTTTGGGGAAGATACCCTTTTTCTAAAATGAACTGATACCTCAAACCCCCATACCCAAATTACTGCATGCTTATTGACTTTTTTAGTAGTAATATTTTTTCTAAAGTACAACAATGAGACTTTCTACTCAAACCTTAGTCATTCTTATAACAAGTTGGCACACTTAAATAAAAAAGAACACCACTAATACAAATTGAAATTTTCAAACTTAAATTAAGTTAATTAATAGGGGTCGCTTTTAGACCTCGTCGACCCCTAAAATCAATTTTCATTTATGTCGACCCCTGGGAAATCGATTTCGACCCCAAGGGTCGATATTGACCACTTTGGGAATCCCTGCACTAGACTCTCAGATAGTAAGTAGCAAGCGCCGCTCATGGCCATATGCAACTCTAGAAAGACAAATGCGTTGCCGTCCTTTGTACGTTGCCATGTTGGTATAAAAATCTCGTGGCGCCCTTGACGATTGTAACCCGTTCTCTCTTTCTCAATTTAGGAGCCAAGCTCTTGTCGGTGGAGCAATCGCCACTCCTCTCTATTTCCTGCTATCTGTTTGACCTCTTGATAAGCCACGTCTCCCACTTTCTCATTCACTTGCTGTATGTATGTTGATCTAGGCCGTTCTCGTTTTCTCTTGCCTTCTATTTGTCCTTCCAGTATTATTCTGAAGAAGTTTTCGTGTTTTATCTTAGTAACCTGTTACTCATCCATAATTTAAGCAGTTCATCTTAAACGTCGTGCGTGATTATCATTACTATCATTTTAGTATTTCCCGTCAACTGTTTTCTAAAACAAAAGACACATTTATAATCCAAATAGGAAATTGGATCTAATTCGACATAAGAACTTTGTAAGTCGTTACAATATTGTTAAAAAAAAGCTAATTAAATGTAGTTGTAAGGATTTCATATATATTCTTATTATTCTACTGTTTGTTTTGCCCAAATAAAGTAAAATAAAATTACTGGCCTCTCGCTCTATTAACGATCTTAAATACTGAGCTTAAAGTAGTGGGTTTGACTCTCATCCAGGGCAAATATGAGCACGATGATTTATTGTGTATCTAAGTGTAACTCGTCTATCAATGGGGCTTATCCCTCCCACACATTATAATTGCCAAAATGTGGGAGTATAATACCCCTCAGTCTTCGATAAAAAATCGCTCCTAGAATCCTGTAAACGCCCCAGGAGACTTCTGCGCTTCTGGAAGGAGCTTGGTTGGCTCACCTAGCTAACCAATCCTCGACGCATAAAGAACCACTCTTGAGTCTAAATGAGGAAACGGAAGCCCACAATCAATACCAATACCCCTCAGTCTTCGAGGATAAAAAAGTAAGCTTGTTATAGGTGTGCAATTTAATTGATAATGAAATATATTCACACTTATTGGTATCATAAATTTATTACGTATGAGAAACTCAAAACTTAAGCTTTTTATAACTGTTATTACAACCTGTCTAAAAGTGACAGTTAAGAGAATAATCGTTCACAGAGGTCGCTCGAGTGAACCTTGGGTAGTCATTTAATTAATTAAAACCTCACATTTGCTACGATACACTGCTATTAATCCAAAGTGTCAAGTAAAAGGAGCTAAGTGCAATCACTAATCAAGATGCAGGTGCTTCCCAGGTGCGTTGCAACACTCATTTCGTTAAGTGCATCTAGTTTGAACGCCCTGTTACCAATGGAAGTAAACAAAATTAGCGTTTTGAACACTGTTTACTTGTTAATTAGCAATCTGTCAACGTCTAACACTGACTCCCTAGCTGCTCATCAGGATATGTTCAATTTATCACTGTAATGCCGTTTTCGATTTACAGACGAACAAGTATTAAACTAGTGATAGAAATGGAAATAGTGGTCACTAACATCACCGACAGGTGTTGTCCACTGTACTGCACAGACATGTATAAATATATGAATTTATATTATTTAGAAGTTCAAGAAATTTATGTTTTAAAATGGTATTAATGTATAAAAACTTGACGATCGGATGGCGTAGTGGTTTGTGTAACGGACTGCTATTCCAAAGGTCGCGGGTTCGATTCTCAAGTCAAACATTTGTGTGCATGAACATTTAATGTTTGATTTGGTATGGGTGTTTCTATGTATAGTATGTATGTAATTACAAAAAAAAAGTATGTATGTATTTCTATCAGTTGTTTAGTATCCATAGTACAAGCTCTGCTTAGTTTGGGACTACATTGCGTTGTGTGAATGAGGTAGAATATTATTAAAGGTACAGTGTAGTCTATGCCATTTTTTTTTCATGTGGTATAAACCCAACAGTACATACTAAGTTACAACTAAACATAGTAATTCTTAAACCTTATTATAAGTAGGTACCGATTTTTATTCTTAAATCTATTTAAATAATTTCAGATTATGAATTTAAACAAAATCAAAATAATTATGTTTTATTTGACTAACTACTGGGAACAAAGCTTTA